CATTTTTTATTCTCGCAAGTCAGTGTCCGGCCCGTTCAGCCTGTTCTTGCATGTTCTTCACGCCCACCCTGCATTCAAAGATCCACCAGTCTAGGAGGCTCCAGCATTAGTGGTGGATCTGATCCCTTGGCTAATTCAAATTTGAATAATACTGGATCTCCTGGCCCATCAGCAGCCCATCTAGATATTATCTGCGCTCATTGCCTGGTCTCGGGTCATGACAAAGATACGTGCAAGGGTCAACTCAGGTGCAAATCTTGCTACAATTATGGGCACACCTCGAAGCAGTGTTTGATCCGGACTCAATCACGTTTTAAGTGGATTCCGAAGAAGTCTTAGGCAATCAATGCGGAAACAAACCTTGATCTACGTGCCCATATTCCGTACTCCTCGTCCTCGTTACCCAACCAATAATGGGGAGCTCACAGTGACCCAGTGCAATAATGGGGACGGGGAGACAATTGAGCATTTATTCTTTGACCGCCCGTTTGCAAAGGAATGCTGAGGAACTCTCAACTTTATTTGGGAACGCTCATTACCAATTATGGATAGATTGGCGCAGGCGGCCTCGACCCAAAACATACCGTTCTTCATGGAAGCTGCACTCATAGCTGCATGGGAATTATGGAAGATACACAATGACAAGGTTTTTTAGAGGCAACAACCAAGTCCGAGTGCCTGCCTAGCAAATTTCAAAAATTAGTGTTACCTCCGGTCTATACGTTTTAAGGACGACCTTAGGTCATCCTTCTGTGTTTGGCTTGATGCCTTTAGTTAATACTTTGCTTGTAAGTACATTCTTTGCTTAAATTTAATACAAAAACCTTACTGTGGGGATCTCCCCTAGTCTTTTGCCGTAAAAAAAAGGTTTGAATTCAAATTTGGAGCTCAAGTTTTAATTGTTTGGACTTGAATTTATACCCTATACTTGACACTAGTGTAAAGCACATACTTTACACCTCAAAGTTTATTAGGGCATAATTTCAAGTATTTTGATGAAATTTAAAATTAAAAGGTCACAAAGTACCTTAAAAGGGTTTTTGGTTTAAGCACAACACATCACACATTTATTGCATTGCTAGCAAATATATATTGATTTTAGTGAATGCAAAGCATGGTTAGCTACTATGGATGATTAACATGCATGATGATGACATGATCAAGTTTTAGTGATGCTTAACACCAGGGGTGTGACAAGATCATGGCCGAATTCGCCTCGGATAGATAAAAGATCGAAGACTATCATGGAGATGACCTCTTGCCTCCACATGAGTGCTACATGGCTCGCACCGAAGACGATGATGGCCACAAGAGGGTTGACGATGAACAATCAGCAACACACACCCTTACCATGGCTACAACAATGTCAAGGCTCCTTACAAGACCAGTCGACAGATCAAGGAGCACCTCCTCAACATCAATGACGAGTTGGCCGCTGAAAACACTCGTCTTCGGCTATGACTCATCGACGAGATGCATTTTTGAGGGCGCGATGTCTACAACGAGATCAACATGAAGGCTATCCACAGCTGAGAGCGAGAAAACTTGGTCGCGACAATGCGAGTGGCAGACGCCATGTTAGGATCAACGCCCATTTTAGTGAGTACCCAAAATGATAGTCCACTAGGGGCTATTAAGTTGGACACATCCCTAAACAGGTCATCCCGGTACACCTCTCACAAGATGTACTACATGCCCACTGTCATCCAGGATCACCAGAGAGAGAGAGAGAATACATCACAACCACGCTTAAGTTACAACATAAGTTCAACAAACTTTAGTTTACAATCCAAGGTTCACAAACTTAGTTCATAAAACAATCCACACATCACAAACTACATCGAAGTTTCTAGCAAAAGTCTTTCAAACATAAACAAGTTCATCATAACTGATATGCAATGGTGCCACTATCGCATATCTACGCAAGCAAGGTGATTCACCACTCCTGATCAGAGGAAGGGTCGAGAGCATAGAAGAAACCTTGTATTGGCACAACATCTCCTGCAGAACTCAAAATCATATAGGGTGAGTACTCGAATGTACTCCGCAGGACTTACCCAATATAATAAACAAGGATTATGCAATTTGGATAGTAGCAAGGAGTACTTTGATTTTGTAGAAAAAGCCTTTGAACAATAAATAACAAAAGGTGATCTATAGACTTAGCAACTGCAAGCGTAGCATGGGTAAATGGATAAAGCAGTTAGCAACTGGAGCTCGATCTTCCACGAGTCCTGGTTCCTTCCAAACAACACTAGTCCATATCTAGAAGTTTAGAACTTATAGCTTTCAAAAGACACTCTGCAGAGGGGGACACATTAACCCCACCAGAAACAAGGGATATCGCCCATATGACCCGTAGGTACATAAGGGATACCTTGATGTCTCAACCTTTCCCCAATTCGGCCAAGATGCTCACGAAAGGTTTGATTGGTTCTCAGGTAATGCTACCATGATCTACCCAGCACCACCTTCATGCCAGTTTCTCGAACAACTTGGTCACAATCGGTTACTTGGCCTGTCACCCCCATTTGTGACAAGTGGTTTGTTTGATTTTGTGTTCAGAACTCGCTATTACGGATGCATGGTCCTTAATAAGTTAGCAAGCTATGTCATTCAAGATTCCACCCTCTCGCCATGACCATACCCCTTGCCAACCATCACTCAACTCATATTCAAAGTGGAACAAGTGTTGATCCCTTCCCATTGGTGTTGCTTAGTGGACAAACATGCCTATCATCGCGTGAGTAATGAGAAACCCATCATCAATTCGACTCTAAGATCTAAGCATACTAAGCAAGAATTAATAAAGGAAATAAGCAAGGTTGATTGGTGTGGCAATATGTGGATCATGGCTTGGAATAGGTAACCCCCCCCCCCCGGTTCAACTAGTCATATAGTAACATAACAATGCAATATATAACCATAGTTCATAATGCACTTAGCATAGCATAGTGATGCATAGGGGCCTGCCTTGAGCTACGATGCACGGATCGCCGACGCGCTTCTCTTCCTGAGCAACCTCCTCTCCTTGGGTCTCCTTGAGAACTTCGTCACCTATTCATGCATGATTCTTGATGAGTAAAATGCATGAATGTAAATGACATGCTATGCAATGCTTTGATGTTTCTTGGTTAACTTTAGCTCTTGGGTATTAAGTGATCAAGTGTTGTACTAATAGGCTGTCGGAGTGAGTTATTGGATAGTTCGGTGTGAACGGTGGACAGTCTGGTGACTCAAGGACTTAATGAAACAGAATAGCTAAGTCGACAGACCTTCCATGGTGATTCATGGACACTCGGTGGTACTTGGTGACTTCAGGAAACTTAAGTGATTACACTATAAATCAATGGAACAATCCATTGGGGTGACGGACCATCCGTCGGTTAGGTCTAGGTTTCCTTAAACGACTAAGTGCTTAGGTTCCTCGGAACATTCCACCAAAGGTGACGGAGCTTCTACCACTACTTGGCTATCTTCAGGTTTTTCTGTGAAGTGAGCCTATAAATCAGCGGACACTCCGGTGTGATCCACGGATTCTTTGCTATAACAAGTATGTAGCCCTAGACTCTCTGGTTTTGGTTTATAATTCCACGGACACTCCATCAGTCACGACGGACGCTCCGATGAATTATAAGTGCTCTGCCCAAGTTAACAGACAAGTGGCTGTGTTGACGAACACTCCGTCGGATACGACGGACACTCCGTCTGTACACTGATAGTGAACTATGCTTGCTACTTCGAAATGCAAATCTTCACCTCGCATTTGCATGGCCAAATCATCACTAGGATAAGTTTCTAGTGTCCTATGGAGCATATCTAGCAAGTTGGTCCTAGCTCCAAAGTGTGCAAACTTGGATTTGGCCAAAAGATGATATTTCCTTGCACTACAAGAAATGTTAGGGTTTATGCCATTTTATTGTTGTCATAATATCTGCAATTTATATCATAGGTTAACATTTATGACACCCGATTGACGAAAAAGCTTGCGTCAAAAACCATGCGCCTTAAACCATGTTTTATGTCGTTTAGATGTTGGAGTCATAAATGTATGACACTGGTTTGGGTGTCACAAAATTTTATGACATTTGGTTTTAAGTAACAAAATTAAAGGTGGCCTGCCTGAGCCCATGTAAGAAACAACCTTATAGTGGGCTTGTTGTGGCTGAATTTTGGTCCAGCCCATTCTGTTTTGAGGCTTTTTTTGTCCCATATCTAAATTTTATTGATTCTGGCCCAACCTCACTTGCTTAGGCTAAGCCCGCATAGATCTTTTGCCCCAGCCCAATTTTTTGGCTGCTGTTTAAGGCCCATACGATTTTTTTTGGACCAGCCCACTTTTTTGGGCCAACCCAAATAGGTTTTAATTGGGCCAGCCAAACAACACAATTTGCAAACAAAAAAACATATTCATACATGCATTCCAACATCTATGACAATACGCAGATCTTGCATTTTAGATACAGCCAATACACAAATCTTGCATTTCAAATAACATCCATTCCACCAGCAAATATAAGCATTACATTCACGTAGTCTCTCCAAAATCAGAACCTTCATTACAGAACCGACAAATATGACCATAAGTTGACATAGCCAGAATATTACCAGAACTGTGACCACAGGTTCACATGACCAAAACATTACAGGACCAGCCGCACATAGGCTTCTCAGTTCTCATATAAGAAGGCCAACCCAAGTTCTTAGATACATGCTAAACTGAGGACAATTGCTGTTAAAGTGATTACCATGGTCACTCCAAAATCGCGTACATGGCTATAGCTTCGGTGACAGGTGCGTGTCCATATCAAAATGACAGCCAAGACACTAATCTGAGAAAGTTTCGAAACTTACTATGGGGCATTAGATGGTGCAGAGTTGGCAGCAAAGAAAGTACGAAAGAAACCATGCATCTCACTTATTTGGTTCTTCAGCCTAGCAGTCTTTTCTTCCACCTTTCTTGCATCCCTCTCCTCTACTTGATTCTTCAGATCATCCATCTAAACTCGAACTTCTGCTGCTCCTTCCTTCTCAACAACTAGTTCACTCTCAAGCTCCTGTACGCGCGTAGCAACTTCAGCACTTCTCTTCATTGCTGCAGACTCAATGCTAATATTTTGAAGAAATTTTGAGGTTGGCAGAACTTGAGCTACAACTTGGGTTGGAGTCTTTACAACTTGCCCTTCTTCTGGTGCTTGAGCAGCGATGGCCTCCATTTCAGCCTAGCATGGAAAAAAAAGCAAGTCAGGTTTCTCGCATTCCAGTTTTTGTCCATCATAGTACAAAAGAAGACAGGAAGCTGTACTCACAATAGCTTCTTGTGCATCCTCACTATAACCTGTTTTGCTGCTGAAATGTGTGGCCTTGAAGAAGTCAATTGCAGTGGGTGGGTCATCCTTAAATTTAGACTTCTGAAACATGTAAACAACAGTTTAAACATTTGAAAAAGAAAGTTAACAGCAGTTGAACAATAATTTAACAGCAATGTGTGTCCTTGCTATCAATCAGTACTTCACTACTGGTAATGATTAGCTAGTTGAGACAACAACATCAACAACAATGCAGTTGAAGCAACAGTTTAAACATTTGAAAAAGAAAGTTAACAGCAGTTGAACAATAACATAGCTAGTTGAGGCACAATGCAATTATTTATTAGTTCTGCAGATAATTGGCAACATATGGGCGGAACATGCACAGACAAAATAACACTTGCATATATGGGCTGAACATGCAGAAAAGAAACAACCCAGATCTGTATAGGTTATATGAAACAGCAATTTAACAGCAATGATGTGTATCCTTGTTAATCAATACTTTAGAAATGTTAGTGGTTAGCTAGTTTAAGCACAGTGCATTTAATTATTTACTAGTTACTAGTTCATCATCGGAAGATGCAGAAACAAAACGATCCAAATTTATGCATTTGCTGGCCCACTTTAAATAAAGATTAATGGCACTACAGGACTGCATTTGCAATCAGGTTCACTAAAAATAGCAATTTGAGCAGCACAAATTTACTTCATTGACACCAGAAAGTATAAAAGTAGCTTACCGTGACATAGCATTGAGCAATATAGGACCGAGATCCTGTCTTCTGCTGGTGCTTTACTAGCCCACGGGTATCCTTAGCTTTCAAACATTTTTCCTAAAGAAAGGCAAACATTAATGGGAGAGGTGGTTCTTTTTTTAAGTCAACATTTGTGAGAGATATTTAGGAAGGATACCTTGTGCTTTGGGGTAGACCACATGTCCACTAGTGCTTTCCACTGCTCATCCGTCATAGTGCCCAATGGTGAAGTGGTTCTGACTTGGTTAGCTGGTATGCCATTAAAGTATTTCTTCTTCAACAAGTATCTCATATTCCGCTGTTCTTTTTTAAGCAAATCAACGCATGCGTATTCCACTGCTTTCTTATTGCTTGGGTCAATAGAGAAATGACTCTAGATAAGAGCATATGAACATATGGTTAAAAGACGCACAAATCATATAATTACGCTATGAGAACTAGCATAGCATGCATATTTGAGAACTAATTCCGCTATGAGAACTAACATAACAGCTTGAGCAGTGCAGCCAAATGAACAAGCAGTTACTGGATAATCAGCCTTTTACATGATCTGCAATGCATATAATCTAGCAAGTTACAGAATAATTCTACAGTGCTTATGATGTACACAAATAATTAAGAAGTTACTGAACATATAAGGCAGACTACATTTCCTTTACTTGAATAACAGAAATACAACAGTTTTAGAGTAGTCCAGCCAACACTTAAGATGACCAAGAGGCCAAAGAGATATCTAGAACAGGTTATATGAAGATCCTTATTGTTCTCATCCTCATAATCTTTCCAGCGGGGGAGGATGGGGATATGGTCCCGCAAAGCAAAACCAGCCTCTGATGCTAGTTTTGCAGCTTGCATAGGTGCCTTTGGCCGGCGGTTTCCATCAGCAACGTGCACTGCAATCTTGGTGTTTAACCCTCTAGAGATCCTATCCAATTCTTTGCCTGCGCGGCACATTTTCATGTTTCGCTAACCTATCATGGCATTTTAGAATCAATTAGTGGAAATCATCAATGTTCAAAAAGGCACTACTAGGCGCTCGCCTAGGCGCGCTTACACGCTAGGCAGAGGGGTGCCGCCTCGCCTAAGGGGGTAGGCGGAAGAAAGGTGGCCTGACCGCAGATCCAGAGCGACAGAGGTGGCGAGCGCAGCTTGGAGGAGGCTAGCAGCGGGTACGGCCGGAAGGCAGGGCCTTTAGTCCGTGGTAGAGGAGTCGGGGATGTTGCGCGGCGGTGGTAGCCGTGGTAGAGGAGGCAGAGAAGCAGGGACGGGGGCGGCGGCGGGTGCAAGTGGCGTGGAGGAGGCGGGGACGGGGGCGGCGACCAGCGCGGAGGAGGTAGGGACGGGGGCAGCAAGCAGCGCGGAGGACAGGAGAGGCAGGGATGGAGGCGGCGGGCACCGCGGCCAGTCGTGTGGTGGATGATACGAAGGGGTACGAAGGGATAGGGTGGGGGATGAGGTTAGAGATATGGCTTGCTGCTCAGATATGGGCTTAGGCTGCTTTATGGGCCTTTCTATACAACTCTTGGCCCACAGGTGTCCTGTTTTTTTTCTTTTCTTATAGACTTTTATAGGTAAAATATGAATGGATATAGAACGCCTAGAAAAATGCCTTGAAATGCCTAGGCTAGCCTAGGCTCGACTAGGCTCTAGGCTATGGGTCAGCGCCTAGAAATCGCCTAGCGCCTTCTTGAACTTTGGAAATCATAGACCCATTAATATGCAAATATGTAAATCATTAATCATGGAGAGGAGCTACAATCACTTGCCTTCTACAGTCATGTTGTTGTGATTGTCAGATTGAGATGAGAATCCAGAGCGATCAACCCATCTTCTGTGGGACCATCTTGTGGGTCTGTTGTTGGAACAGGGCAAAATTCATCAGCTGATGATATTTCCTTTGTCCTCTGCTTTGTCATTCTAGCTGGTTGGTCTTTCTCTTTAAGTGCCATCACTCGCTTTGATGCTCTTGATAATTCAGTACTTGGCAAACTCTTGCTAAGTTCAGGGACCTGCATGATACAAGAAATTAAAACAGGAAAAACACTTTTGCATACTGAACACAATGAGTAATCATAGTGCAACATTGCATATATACCTTGTCAACTACTCCTTGTTCAATGTCACTATCTCCAGGTTCAGTGTCCTCTCTAGGTTCATACAATGGGTCGGATTCTTCACGAGCAGCAACCACGGGCTTTGTTCCCACAAGTTCACGTAACTTTCCTAAACCAAGCCGCTGGAACATTAGATTTTTCTCGAGAATGTTGTACGCCCTTTGTAGCTCATAGTCAGTCATGGGCGACCCATTAATATGCAAATATGTAAATCATTAATCATGGAGAGCAATCCATTTCCATCGAGGTAACAGGTTCATAAAAATCTCTGGGATAAGAAACACTGGCCACATGATGAGTAGGCCCATGATGAAGTTGGATTGCTCTACACATTCCCATGGAGGGAAGTTGTATGGGATAAGAAACACTGGCCACATGCTGTACGAGGAGCTCATTTTGCCAAATGGGTTGAAACCATCAGTAACAAGGCCAAGTCTAATGTTCCTTGCATCTTATGCAAACCACCCATAATTTCTATCAAAGTCTTTCCATGCCTCGCCATCAGCTGGATGGCTAAGCTCATTCTCCACTGGTTTCCTCTTCAATTTGTGCCATTGTGCCACCTCTGACATTTTCTTGGAAGAAAAGATCCTCTTCAACCTAGGAATCAACGGAAAATGCCGCAATACCTTCTCAGGAATCTTCTTTCTTCCATCATTGTCTTTCCATCTTGATGCATCACAAACTGGACAAACATCTTTTTCTGCTAACTCCTTTCGAAACAAAACACAATTGTTCGGGCACACATGGATTGAATTGTATCCTAACCCCAATGCACGAATAAGCCTCTTTGCTTCCTCGTATGTTGCAGGAATAGAGCAATTCGGGAATTCCGATGATAACAACTTCAATAGTGCTGTTAAAACAACATTTAAAATTCTGTAAAATGACTTGATATGAAGTAACTTCACCACAAAAGAAAACCTTGTACTTTGAGCACCAGGGTAGAGTTCTTGCTTCATCTCTTCCAATAGAATTGCAAACATAGACTTTTTTTCCTTTACCTTCATCTTCAGCTGTATACAACTCCTCTACCATATCACGAATTCCATCATCAGGGTCATCTTCTTTATCCACATTCATGCCAAAATCCTCATTGAGACTAGTCTGTTCATCAACATGGTCCTCATTTTCATGTAGTATAACCTCCAACGGTTCTCCATGATGTATCCATCTAGTGTAAGTGCTAGCCATCCCATGAATATACAAGTCATCCTGCACTTGTCCTTGAGGTTTGCGAACTCGATTCAAACACCGACGACATGGACAAAACATCTCTTCATTGTCATTAAATCTCTCGGAAACAAAGGTCATGAACTCCTTCACCCCATCCACATGTTCCTTGCTAAACCTCCTACTATTGATCCAAGATCTGTCCATCTGCACCAAATCATGAGATACATTGATTCAAAATATTTTACATATAATAATTGACCAAAGTTATCTAACATTTGACATATGCCATGTATTTGTAGCAAATCTGTATACAGTAGGAATCATGCGAAATATGTTGACCTACTCATTTATGTTGTGGGCTAGGAATCATTTCAACTTTATTAATCTCAATTAAACATGGGAAATATATTAATCTTTAATATGTCCCGAGCCCTGTTTTATTTTTTGATATATTGACATTTAATTCTTTGCTGATGGACGTTTCACAAGTCTTTTTCGGTATTATATTTGATAGTCACTACTTCTGTATGTATATCTAAGGCCTGTTTTATTGTAAACAGGCTACCATGTGCTAATTGCATTGTAATATTTATGCCTTCTCTTCTCTGGTTTCTGTTTTTTTTCTCAAGAAGTGACTAACCATGGACCACAGCTACACAGAAAATGGGACACTGACACATTGTAATATGCAAATTCAAAGTTTCAGACTACAGCTACAGGGAGTTGCTCACATCACAATTCAGAGTTTGAGACTACAGAGAGTTGCTCACCTTGCAGCCGTGCAATCAGGCCGCCTCGCTGTCGCAGTGTCTAGTCCTTGCCTGGCTCCTCCCTGATCCCTGCCGCCGCTCGCGGCAGAGGTGCCTCGTGCATAGGACGCCAGACGGCAGCGGCAACGAGCACGCCAGTGGGTGGAGCGCCGGAGTGTTGGACCGCGACCGCCGTACCAGAACCGTGGGGGCCGCCGGGAGGGAGATGGGAGAGGCCGAGAGGGAGTTAGCGACTAAGAGCAGGGAGCCGCCACAGTGCTCCCCAGGCCGGATCCGCCGGACCGGGACCGGGGAGGCTGCCGGGAGGGTAATGGGAGAGACCGAGAGGAAGTGAGCGACTGAGAGCAGGGAGCTACCGCAGCGCCCAGATCCAGACGACCCAGGCAGCCGCAGGCCACGAGCGCGACTGCGCGAGGATCCGCCGCCGGGATTTCGAGATGCTGCAATGGCACGCGCGACCGTGAGTCCGTGAAGATGACGAGCAGAGACTTCTGTTGGGTTATTTTTTTACCTCCACGTGATACTGATAACAGTTAAAATCAATAAGTTGCAGAACCTTGCACAATAGTAGCTGTAGTCCAGTGGTTTGTCCGGACCGTCTCATCCTTCAGATCAGGATTTCGAGCCCTCGTTTGCAAATTTTTTTACAATTCCTGCGTTATAGAACCGTATACTTTCATTTATATAAACTTGATAGTGTGCCGAGTAAATCAACATCATAACCAAGATTACATATACTTTCACTTATATAAACTCGGTAGTCTACCGAGTAAATCAACATCACAGCCAAGATCGCACCATTAAACTATTATAGATCCGTCTAATCATAATCAAGATCGCACGATTAAACAAATGACACATAAATCAATATCATAACCAAGATTGTATATTACTTATCGGAAATAATGTAAACAATGAGTTCATTAAATAATAATACAATATTTAGTGAGTTTTCAAAACCAATTAGTTCACGAATAATAATACAAGTTTAGTTTTCAAAACCAATTAATTAAAACAACATAGTTTTCAAATAATTACAATAATATAAGTTCTAAATACATTACTAACATACGTGACATCCTCTGACAAAAGCATATAAATAAGAACACTATATAGAGTCGTCGAGCCCACCGACGGTTAGCCACCATATTCAGCAGGCTGAGAACTTCACCTGCAACATGGTGGGATAAACCCTGAGTACTCGAATGTACTCAGCTAGACTTACCCATCATAAACCAAAAATAAATTAACACCAAGCATCATGCAAGGCTATATAAGTGGAGCTAGCTTGATACTATTTTGTATAAAAAACCACTAATTAAGCTATACATTTTATAATTTGGTCATCAAATTAATTATAGCTATTCATCTCTAGATTAGCAACTAACATGTGCCAAACATGTGGTATATCATTTAGTAGCATAACAATAGTAACCATAGCCGGTGTAAGATTTTTATATTCATCTGAATCATCATATTTCATAATCCAATTACTACGATGAAGAAGCTCCGTCAAGTTTCTCACTATCCGGGAGAGACGATGATTCGAATTGATTGCAACTAGCCGGGCAGTTATTCCTAACACAAACCCAGTCATGCCTACACCAAGATAGTCTTAAGTCACCTTTGATACAACTTAGGTACACATTTCGCGAAGGCGATCAGCGCCGCACCCTTAGGGACACTACCGGATGCCAGGTAAATCAGGACTCTAACCTGCCCTTGGCCTCACACCGGCTCCCCACACATTCTTACTACCTCTAGTGTGCGCACTTTAACAGAACGAGGCCCGGCCTGAGTTGAGCTACTCGGCTTCGCGGTCGGAACGAGTTATCCGGCCAGCTAAGTGAGAGACATGCGTTCAAAATGACAAGAGGGCCTCCAACGATGCAGTTGTTAATTGGCACAGACGGAATCACATGAGTCAACCTATACATAGACTCCGCTCGACCTCTAGTTACATTATCCCATGGTTCTTTTACACGATAGCAAATATAGCCAACCGTGCTCTGGTATCTACCTATATCTCGTAGGTGATAAGAAATCACCTGACTTCTACCGAGCTAAACATGGCTAAGCATATACACGATCTTGGACCTACATAGGGTTTAAGGTATATTTCTGGACAAGGAAGTTATATGCATCAAGTGTTTTCAATCAACTCATATAACCTAATGCATCAAACATAAAGGACGCAAGTGATATTTATAAAAACATAGGAGGCTTAGAATGCTCCGAGGCTTACCTAGGATCCAACACAAAGTCAGTTTAGTTAGCTTGCACCATCTTGGAGGACATCTACCACTCTAGGCATGCACTCCAGGGGTCCTTCCATCTTCGGGATAGGTCCACCAACACCGTCTTCCCGTTCGACTCTATTATCACATGCTTCATGTCCACGTGTTGTGCATCTAGCGTACCTAGATGAGATGCAACAATGCAAGTGCATGAATGCGAAGAATGGTAATATGAGATGCATCATATAAAAGCATTTAAGACAAGTATAAGGTTACACCTCAAGACATATGCACTTAGAGTTATTTAACTAAACATCAACCAAGCACAACAGGTGGATATAGCCAGCATATCAAGCATGACATACCCGTTAACTTAAGTCAGCTATTGCAAATATTTATCAATCAAGAACTAACTAACAAATTTAGCCAAACAAGAGTAGGCTAAAGCAATTACCTAGCCCATATACAGAAATCTGGACAGCAGCACCGCAGTCACTCGTAGCCATAACTAGAGTTATAAGCATTTAATAAAAGTTATCTTAGACTTTCTGGAAAGCTGATGAAATTGTCTACAACTTTGTTACTCATACCAAAATTTAATTCATAGGTTAATATAATCAAATATGATAATATTTTAGGTCTGCACAAACAAGGGCAGAAAACTGACAGTAACTTCAGAGATGCATAACTAGAGTTCTAGACATTCAACAAACATGATTCTTAACTTTATGAAAATCTTATTAAGTTATGTATAACTTTTTTATTATCATCTTAAGATGATTCTACAGCTAACAATGTTAAACAACCAAATGAATACATCTCTATCTAGATTTGGACAGAACTTGTCATTCCACTTTGAATAGCAATAACTAGAGTTCTAGACCACTAAAAGCAGTGATCTTAGACATTTTAGAAAGCTTAGGAAAATGACTACAACTCTACTATTATCACCAATACATGATTCCATGTTTAAATAAGTCAAACAATGCAATCATTCAGATCTATTCAGAGGACATGCAAAAGCTGACAGCAAACTTGTAAAATCTATAACTCCTAAACCAGCAGGCATAAAATTATGAAAGTTTAGAAAAAAGCAATATAAGGAAATTATGTACAACTTTTGTATTCAACATATCTACAGAAAACATCATTTGCATCACAAAAATATCACCACCACAGAAACTATACATGCAGCCATTTTCAGCACATAAGCAAAATGGATTTTCACTTGATTCTATAACAAGGTGACATAAAAGTACATCCAACACATAGCTCTAAGCCATCATGAGGAACCCATACAACCTCATCTCAAACCAACACATGACATTAGCATCACAAGAACCATGTATAAACATCTAATAGGAAAAGCACATGCTCCTTCAAAGTTTAATTAACATGCAACTAATAAAAAGGTGATGTTGCAAACATTCTAATTTGGAGCCTAGGTTTTTATGAGAGAGATATGATAACAAAGCATGGCTACTGTACAAAATTTACATACTCAAGTTTTATAAATTAATTATTACATGCAAAACAAGTTTTAATTGCAAATAAGTATATGAGAACAAGACAAATCTAAACCTCCACATTTTCTGTAAACGCATGATCAAATTAGGTTTGCTTAGGTTACCACCACACTATGCAAAGGCAATGGAACAACATTTTCCATTTTTTACACCTTTATGATATTCAAGCATTTACAACTACTTATCAAGCACCTAGCATGATAAATTAATAACTAGAGCTCATGCAATTTTAACTAGCGCTCATGCATCACATATATATCCTACAATTAAAATTTCATGCCATTTGGAGCACTACAACTTCAGGTATGAGAATAACAAACAAAACAAGCTAAAATTGCCTATTTAACAAGATTAAGTCAAAACATTATAAAAACAGTACACAACTAGCATGTTTAATATTTTTATTAGCTAGATCATGTCATCAAAAGATTAACACAATTAGAATTACCATTTTTGGACTTCTATAACTCAAGATATGCATCTGTCCAACTTAAAAGTATTTTTAAAAGCACTTTATAGGAATAAATAAAAATAGCAGAAACTTTCTACTAACACATATCATATTATGACTCTACTGCGTAGATCTACACACAAGGATTCCAAAACATGTTCATTTGCTATTTTACGATTTTTGTACGATTTACTATGATTTTTCAAAGTTTCAACCATAA